CAATTGTTTTAACTTAGCAATTTTCTTTCATATTGTACAATTAGTGTTCAAATTGAAATTGTCAATCAATAAATTTTGAAAGTATTTGACTCTCCACCATTGATAGCTATTAAAAATCTTTGAAACTTTGAAATCGAATTTGAGTTTTTAAAAACCATTATTTATTTGGATTGGGTGTTGTTGCAAACAATTGAGAATATTGTTTGGAGTTTATATCTCAATTTTGAGGGTGTTATAGTGAAGATTAGACTTGATTTTGACTGAATTTCATATTGAAACTCGAAGAAGAAGAACACATGATATACAATATACTTACAAAATTATAGTAAAGTTATATTATAAATGTATTTAAATTGTATTATGTTGTAGTTATATATATACTTTTTAATTTGAATATTGTATGAAAGTTAAAAAAACAGTTGTATAATGTATGAATCGTTGTATAAAATTTGTATTTAAGTTATAAATACTATATTTTTACATAAAGTTGTTGATATGTATCAAAATTGCATTAAGAGAGTAAGTTTTGATTGGAATTTTAGAGAGGAAGAAGCACACACCACATACAAAATATATACAAATCAGATACAAAACATACAAAAAAAATATATTGTATAAAATGTGTATAAAATTTTTATTCAAGTTGTATGATATTGTAGTTGTATTTAACTAGGTAGAAATAATGTATGAAAGTTGTAGATAAATTATAAATAAGTTGTATAATATATAATTAGTTGTATGAAATTTATTTTTACTATGTATGTTGTTGTAGATATTAAAATTTGCATTAAATTTATACGAAATTTATTTTTAATTTGTATATTTATGTACCATATATTGTTCTTTTCTCAGTTGATTATTAAGGAAAGAAAAGTGAAGAATAAATTCATGACTGGTACCTGAGCCAGGAGACACCAAGAATGGGAATGCGACAAATCGTCATTAGAGCCGATTTTAATTTTTAGGCAAAGTTGTGGGATATATAGTTCAAGTTTAAGTATTTATTAACAAGATTACAACCACATTACTAAGGTTTGTGATTAAGGTGTCTCTTGGTATAAATATCATGTACACTGTAGCAGCAAAAATTGCTACATTCTTTGTTACTATTCACATATTCTTTTTCTTTAGCATAAGATAGGTCTGGAAGTTTGGCATTTGAAGTAGGAGAGAAACTATATTAGAAGATGACTGCTGGGTAGATTTGGAGATAGCACTCCAGAGCTCCCAGACTTCTTAACTATTCAAATATTGGGCTAAACACCTCTAGGAAGATTCCAATAGGAACTGAAGCACCGGATTATGTCACAACCATCGACTAGAGAAGAGAGAAAATATAGGCTAAGTGATGAAGAACAAGAATAAAGAGATGAGAGGGGGGAAAAAAAGGTGTAACTAAATCCCCTTGATTAAAGGCACTAATAATAGATTATGAGCCTTTTAAGGTGGAATATATATATAATTTGTAAGTAATCCTTGTTTAGGGCGGTAATATATAAAATTAGAATAATTTTGGTAAATAACTTTAAAATATTGTATAGGAACGAAAAAATCCCTTCCTTTTTGCGTCCGCCGGTTAAATTGGGCTTTAATTTCTAATGGGCTTTTTAACTACAATCCAGATGAAATCTTGAGTACAAAGATTATTGGGACAGACAAGAATTAACAGGGAAGATTGATTATCGCCATGTTTATCTGAACTTTACAAATATTAAAGTTCAATTAGAAGGGAATAAGGTTGTCCAAACATGCCCTGCAACATTGGGCCCAGGATTTGCTGCTGGAACTACTGATGGGCCTGGTGTTTTTGGGTTCCAGCAACGTGATACCAAGATCATGGATCAATTCATTTTCTATAATCATGAAAAAAACTTGGGATATTTGCACAAATAACCGGCCAAATTTACTATTTATTTATTTAGTCATATATGTAAATTATACCCGATTATACTCATAGTATATATGACTTTACAAATATTAAACATCCGTCAACTATATTTAGTTTAAGCAGTTGGGTGACGGTTATTTACGTTAATACATTCTCTTAACATTTTGTTGTGTTTAAGGATGAAAATTTGATTTGCTTCACTGATAAATCCATTTTGGAAGAAGCTAAGAGATGTGTTAAAGAGAAAGGAAATTTTACCTCCTATAGCAAACTATTACTGTCACGACCCAAACTCACCTATAGGTCATGATGGCGCCCAATATCCCAGCTAGGCAAGCCAACTAATGATTTAAACATATATTCATTTTTTAAAAAATTATCCGAGTAATAAAACTCGGAGTACTTGCAAAAATTAAGACAATGTGAGAAATAAGATAAATTAAAACCCAAGTAAAATAATTAAATCCAAAAACTCTACTAGTGTGTGCCAAGACCTGGTGTCACAATTGTATGAGCATCTAGTAGATTATACAAAATTCTAAATATTGTCTGAAATAAAATAGACAGAATACAAATACAAAAAGAGGCACTAGTTGCTGCAGAACGGCTCAGAAAGGCAGCTCACCACTAAGCCTCTAGATAACGTGGGTGCACTCCGATAGGTCCTCCGATAGTACGTCTCGGGTGCTGCACAAAAAGTACAGCAAGCGTAGCATGAGTACGTAAACAACGTGTACCCAATAAGTATCAAGCCTAATCTCGAAGAAGTAGTGACGAGAGGTCGACTTTGACACTCACTATGGGTCAATAATATTACAATAGAATTATATAATTAAACATGATTTTTTAGGTGAACAATAATAATTTTCTAAACAAGCAGAAATAAATAAATTTCTTAAATTTTAATAATTTCCAATTTATCAAATTAACTTCACAAGCTGCAACTAAAATATCAAGGTATCGTGTAATTATTACTATTAGGTATGATTTCTGCCGAGGTCGTACGGCCCGATCCAGAGTGTCGTGTACACTGTCGAGGGACGTGCGNAACAAAACTTCAAGTATATGAGATTTCAATCTTTTACCATTTTCTCTAACCAATTACAACATAATTTTATTGCTTTAATTAAATGAGGATACAATTAATACAATTTTCTTCCAATTCCATAACCATTTTCGTGGTTAAAATTTCATTTTTATCAAAACCTAAGTTTTTCATCTAAACCCTTAATTTGCATAATTTACAGGTTATAATCTACTCATAGTCTATGTATTTAATTCAAAGTGTGTAGAATTAACTTACCTTCAAGTTGCTAGTTAAAATCCTCTTTCAAAAAGCTCCAAAATCGCCCAAAAATGGAGAAAAAATGGACTAAAATGACTGAGCCTCGCCCCCTTTTAACATTCTGCCTAACAATCATTTCCGCACCTGTGGAGGCTTAGCCGCACCTGCGGAAAAAGCCTCGCAGGTGCGCATTTCTCCATTTGGCCTGGCTTCGCACCTGCGGTGAAGTGGGCTGCTTCTGCGCGTCCGCAGGTGCGACCAATGCCCTCGCACCTGCGCCATTTTCGCTTTTGCGCCTGCTCCTTCGCACCGGCGTTACTCGCACCTGCGACTTTCCAACCGCATGTGCGATTGCAACAGAAGCTGGAGCCTTCAGCAGTTGCTCCAATTTCAAAAATTGGCTCGAGCCTCGTCCGGTTAACTCCCGGGGCCCCACCCGAATATACCAACAAGTTTGAAATCATAAAACGGACTCACTCGAACCCTCGGAACGTGTAAAACAACATCAAAACTAAGAATCATACCTCAAACCAAATTGATTCAACTCAGAAATTTTAAATTCTTCAAACTTACTCCGAACACGCTGAAACATACTTTAACTACTCGGAATGACACCAAATTTTGCGTGCAAGTCTTAAATCAGCATATAGAGCTATTCTTATGCTCGAAATTCCGAACGGGCCTCATTTACTCCAAAACCTACTCCAAACCAAAAAATTTAAGAACCTTAAACCTTTAAATAGTTGATTTTCACTATTAAGCGCTGAAACGCTTCCGCGTTGTCCAAAACCCGATTCGAACATACGTCCAAGTCCAAAATCATCATACGAACCTATTGGAACCGTCAAATCCCGATTCGGGGGTCATTTTCTCAAAATGTTGACCGAAATCAAACTTGGGCTTTTAAGCCAAATTAAAGAACTAAGTATTCCGATTTTAACCCGAACACTTTCAAATTCCGAACCGACCATCCCCGCAAGTCATAAATTAATAAAAGCATATACGAAAAATTTTATTTAGGAAAACAGGATTCTAAAAGTCAAAATGACCGGTTGGGTCATTACTATTACACTCTATTTATTATAAACCAAAATAATTTTAAAATATTATTACTTATAGCTACCTTTTCTATTTTATAGCAAATTAGGTATTTATTATATACCCTACCATTGAGGCATGAAATACGTCAATCATGTTCTTTCTCTCACAACAAAATTCTCAATCCTCTCTCTTCTCTTTCAAATCAACAGAATCGTCGGCGTCATCCGGAGATTCGATGTCTCCGGTGACTCGGAGAAGTAGGTGTCGGCAGAGCTGCGTTGGAAGAATGGTGATTTTGGATCGGAGAGAAGTGGAATAGTGGCGGCGGAGCTATGGTAGAAGAAACTGGTTGTTGTGCTTTAGGCGGCTGGTTCAACATGTAGCTTGTTCCCTTCTTGTGCTTTCACAGAAAAAATGGCTACGCACCAAAAATTGGCATATGTGTACTTTTGTGGGGGGGG